TAGTATCATGGCCCCAAAGCCCTATTCTGATTATTAAGGCCCCTGTACTAATTATAGTATAATGGGCCCCAAGACCATATTCTGATTATTATGGGATTCTGGGATTTTGGGGGTTCATGGCTGTGAAGCCTTTGGTTGCGGCGTCTGGGGCTGATTTCCGCGCTTTTCTTGGGGAGGACGTGCCTTGAGATGCTTGGTGTTCCCTAAACCCCTAAACCCCCACGGTTTAGGGTTTAGGTTTTAGGGTTTAGGGTTTAGGGTTTAGGCTAAACCCCCTAAAACCCCTAAACCCCTAGGGTTTAGGGTTTAGGGTTTAGGCTAAACCCCCTAAACCCCCTAAACCCCTAAACCCCCTAAACCCTAAACCCTTTCCACAAGTAACCGTCAGAGTTGGTGATGGCCACACTCTTGGGTTTTGGGATGTTCAGGAAATCCAGGCGGAGTTCTGGTTTGTAGCTTTTCCGATGTTGCAGAATGTAAATGCTGCATTTTCTAGTCCAGATGATACATGCAGCGTGTACGATTGCAAAAATGCACGTACGAATCAAAACGTAGGGCGTGATCGTGAACAGGACCGATTTGCTGAACCCGCAATTATTAGCTCTCAGATGCAGGGTTTTAACACAGCGCAGAACCAAAAACTCTAGCTGTTTACTAAAGTCCTCTCGTCCGCGGGAGCGTACCAAGGCTCGATTCATGTGCCTGGACGTCCTCTGCAGTATCACTCGCATCCCAGGCAACTCGAGCGCGATTGTTCCAATGCCTGGTTTATTGATAGTAGTAGTACCATTATTATTTATTTTATTTATTTATTTATTTATTTATTTATTTATTATTATTATTATTATTATTATTACTATTATTACTATTATTACTATTATTACTATTATTATTATTATTACTATTATTATTATTACCATTATTATTGTTAGTAGTAGTAGTAGAAGAAGAAGGAGCATGAGTTGCAGGAGTAGAAATAGGAGTAGTAGTCTACACCAGCCCAGAAGCTTGTTGGGGACGTGCGCGGCATGCGAAGCTTCCCAGGCATCCTCTACTGTTGCAGGATCTCCAGCAGCCTCAATCTCCAAACTGCTCTGGTCCTTGACGGTTTAGGGTTTTTTTTTGGGGGGGGGTTCAGGGGTTTAGGGTTTAGGGTTTAGGGGTCTAGGGTTCAAAGGCCAGTGCTGAGTGTGCAGAAAGTTGAGAGAAGCCATGGATGCCTCAGGAAGGAGCTACAACGAACCGTCTGCGTCACAAGTCGTAACAGCTGTGTGATTCGTAGTACTACTTCGGGATTGCTCCTAATGCAGACGATAGGATGACAATAAGGATCTGTGGTTACTGCTCCCATCACTCTTGCGTTAAAAGTTTAAAAATCTAAAAGCTGCCATGCACTCATACGTTCTCGTCTTGCTGTGGCCCAACATAGAAGGAACATTTGAGCATTCTTAAGAGATGGCCGTGAAAGGGGCCACGAACCACACTTCGGGTCAAGCTGCAGTCGTTGCCACCTGCTTCGCCTCTCCGTCTGCAGAAGGCTCAGAAGTGTCCTCTGTCGCAGCCAACTCGGCATACAGATCCTGGTCCTCCTCCTTCTCCTCCTTCTCCTTCTCCTCCGTCTCCTCCTTCTTCTCCTCTTTCTCCGCCTCAGAGGCTTCTTGGTTTCAGCGTGCTGCGGGACAGGGAGAAGGAACGATGAGAATGATGATAAGGCCAGGATGATCTTTCCTAGAAGTGCCTTCCCACGACCGACGACTACTGTACCACGAATGCTTCGTTACTTCCAAAATCCACCATGGCTCTCTTCCCTGCATCAACGCTGAGACGAATACCCTCCGACCACGAAGATTTTCATGAATTTCTCTGCCTGTTTGGGCAGACTCCTCCTCGTCCAGGTTGGGGTCCAGCCGAGTCTGGGAGCAGGGTCCTTGTGCCCTGTGTCCTCAGGGGGTTCACGGCTAACCATCAGCATCGTCACCATGCCAGCATCACCGTCGCTATCATGGCTAGCAGAAAAGATGGCATGTAAACATGTGACACTTAACAGATGTTATATTTAACACCTTAGTTGCATGTTAATGCGTGTTTTGGCGCCCTGCTCAACAAATATTGAAAAGCAAGCCCTAAACCCTAAACCCCAACCCTAAACCCTCTCTGCACCTGTGGCTTCTCTGCCGGTGGTGGCGGGGGCGGTGGCGCAGGGTGGACGCGGCAGTCTGAGGCATTGGCAGGGCCAAGGTCGGGGGCTTTAAGACTTGGTTTAGGGTTTAGGGTTTAGGGGCAGACTTAGTATAAAAAACACAAAAAGGCTCGGGCTGGATTGTCGGCTTCGACTTGAGATACCGGGGGTCTCGCACCCCAAAAGCTTGAGCGCTGGTATCACACCGAAACTGCAATGCATCCCAAACCCCCAAAGCCAAAACACACTCGAAGGGCGCTCTAACCCCCAAACCCTATCATTTGGGACAGCCCTACAAATGTTGTAAACCCCTTGCTGACATCCATTCCGCTTGAGCTTTTCAAACCCGACACAACTCTGGTGCAAGGTGTATTCTTATACAACCCAGTCATAAACTTACAAAACCCTTATAAAGCCTCTATACGACCAAGCTGTAACTTTACAAAGGCCGTGTAAAACTCTGCACAACGGATCTACAATCTTACAAACCGTATAAATACAACCCCTTCGTATAAAGTGCTATACAACCCATTTACAACCTTGCCAAAATTCCATACCACGCTCAGGACAACCAAAGGACAACACTAGATAGTCCTTGGAGACCCCTACACACCCAAATTACAATCCTACGAACCCTTTGCAAACAAACTCCTTACAAATCCGAGTTATAACCTTACAAACCCCTCAAAAAGAATACTATAAAACAGAATTCCTTTTCCACCCCAAACCCTACTACTTCAACAACTAGCGACTAGGTCATATATCGAGGAGAGACCTTCAAGGCTGGCAGCTGGATTCTAAAGAGGCCATAGACCCTAAACCTAACACCTCAGATCTTAAATCGGAAAACCCTAAGCCTTAAACCCTTAATTAAACCCCAAACCCTGAACCCGAAGTCGAAAACACAAAGCCGAAACCCTAAAACCCTTAAACCCCACACTCTAAAACTCAACCCTCTTCGGTCGAAGCCTTCTCCGCCTTGGACCTCTGCAGCTTTTGGTGCCGAGGCCCGCGGCTTCATTCGCTGCCAGGAGAAGCCAGAATACCCTCGCAGATTCTTCCTGGGTCTGTTAGGGTTTAGGGTTTAGGGTTTAGGGTTTAGGGTTTAGGGTTTAGGGTTTAGGGTTTAGGGTCTGTGTCTGTGATATCTTAAGGACTTACAGCGGAGGGTGAGGGATTTCTTGTGGGTCTAGGGGCTTGAGGGCTTGAGGGCTCGACCCTCGCAGTTTGTCCCTGAACTGATGAAGGAGACCTTTCGGGTCCAGGGTGTTAGAGTTTAGGATTGAATACCTTCACAACTTCTTCCTCGATTCAGAGGGTGGGTTTCTTGAGTCTAGGACATTTTCAGGTAAGGAGTTACCGTTATAGGAGCCTTGTAGAAGGTCTATATACCTTATGGAAGCTTTATAGAAGCCCTATATACCCTAAACTCCCCACGTGTAGCTTCCTTTAATTGAGGGCTTCCAAGAGTCGATGGTTTTGGGCTCAGAGTTTAGGCCAGAATGCTCTCGCAGATTCTTGCTGGCACAAGGGGCTTCGACGGTCTGCACGGCTTTGGGTTAGAGTCTAGGGTTTAAACCCTAAGCCCCAAACCCTAAACCCCAAGCCCTAAGCCCTCAACCCTAATAGGGTTTTGGGCTTTGGTTTTTGGGTTTAGGGGTTACGGGTAAGGCTTGAGGGGGGGTTCTCCCAAACTCCCGAGGGTCTGGCTTCAGGGATGAAGCTACCCGTAGGCCCCGGGTTTAGGGTTTAGGGTTTAGGGTTTAGGGATGAAGCTACCCGTAGGCCCCATAGTACTTCCTGTCTGGGATGACCTTATAGGATTCTAAATATGAGCCCCAAAAAGGAACTACTGTGGGGCCTATGGGTAAATGGTTTGGGAGTTTTTGGCATTTGGGAACTTCCTAGCGTTGGGGATTGAGGCTTTGGAGCTGTAGGGTAGTTCAAGTCTGGGTAGTTCTCTAAACTAGGGTCCGTTTTTGAGTCCCCAAGATACCCAGAGACTCCAATAACCCTTAAGTAAGGAATATACCTTAAATTATAATAGGATCCCTAATAAGATTTAAGGTATAATCCGTAATTAAGGGGTTGGAGTCTCTGGGTAGTACGGCACCCTTATAACAAGGACCCCAACAGGGACCCTGATCTGCTGATAGGCCTAGGTTTAGGGCCTCCCACCTGCGGGCCATGTGATCTCCAGAACCCTCAAGCCAGATTGCAAAGCCCTTCAGCTTAGGGTTTAGGGTTTAGGGTTTAATGTTTAGGGTTTAGGGGAGCCTTAGTAATCAGAATAGGGTTTTGAGGTATATCATATTATACCATAATTATTATAAGGAACCACCAAAATTTAAAATAGTATGGGTAATTATTTAGGCCCCCTATATTAGACTCTACCTGCAAAGGCCTAGACCCTCAAGACCAGAGCCGTTTAACAAAAAATGCTGATGCTTCGCAGGAGCCAGCTTAGCGAATCCTGGGTTGAGTGTGTCTCATCCAGGATGTATTTTTGACCTTGACAGCAACCCTAATCCCTAAACCCCCAAAATAGTATTGGTAAATATTTTTGGCTTTCACAGCAGTAGGCTTCTGCCCCATCTTTTTCGAGAGCCCCTGCCCGAAGCCCCCATGTTTGAACGCGGCCCCTGCTTGCACTTCATGTCGGCTTAGGGTTTGGGTTTAAGGTTTAGGGCTTTAGGGGTTTAGGGCTCGTTTCCATGTCCGGAGATGATAGCAGCAAGTAAGCTGCCGACCCCAGATTATGGTGCCATCCTCCATCTGCTTGATGACGGCTGGTCTTGAAAATGCCTCGCCGCTGGGGCGTTGGATTCGCACGCTGCAGGAGTACGAAGTGCCTTTGTATGCTGCATCCCGGCTGACCTTGCGCCATGTCATGTCCAAGGCCAAGGCTCTTTAGGGGTCGAGGGTTTAGGGTGTAGGAAGCTTCAAAGCCTCTCAAGAACTCCATGTTAAATCTCGTATCATTTTTGTCTCCCACCCAGCCTCGTAACAGGAGCCATGTCTGTCAGACCAGTTTCCCTCCATCTGCTGCAACCAGTCGGCATCCTTTTCTCGACGGCGTTGGAAGAAACGCATCGAAGCTCTCCAGAAAAGGCACGACGCCCGCGGGAACGTCCGACAAGGCGTCGCGAGCTTGAGAGCCAAGGGGCGGACTCAAGGAACCCGAGTTGACTTGGGAACCGCTAAGTGCCGCAAGGTGCAAGTAGACATGACTCAAAAGCAGACGTTGCCCAAGACATAATCCCTGAAGCCTCAAACTCTTAAGCGTGTACAGTCACTACTACAACGAGCCATAAGCAATGCTGATAACAGCATGTGTATATATATATATACATACATAAAAATATATATATATATACAGCCTGAAATTAGGGGCCTAAGTCGCACAACTACTCCTCAAGGCTCCTTAATATGGGCCAGTAGATCATAGCATATCTTATCATTGATGTGCCTAATTATATGGTCCCCTGAGGCAGGAGTCCACAGAACGAAGTCCACCCCAATAAGTATAAGGCTTTGGGGTAAGCTTTGCTATAATCACTTACAGCAAGCAACCCCAAGCAGCATTGTGAATTGCGCCGACCCCTATACTACTACGACCGAAGGACCCTAAACCCGAAACCCTAAACCCGAAACCCCAAACCCTAAACCCGAAACCCTAAACCCAAAACCTTAAACCACAAACCCTAAACCCCGAAACCCTAAACCCGAAACCCGAAGCCCTAAACCCTAAACCCTAAAACCCTAAACCCTAAGGTGCAAGGCCTCTGCGCCCCAGGGCCGACGCCCGACGCCAGCACGAGTCCC